CACAACATAAAAATATTCTAATATTAAGGATTATTTTACAACTCAGTGGAAATATGCAGTAATGCAATCCATTTTCTTTGTCTGGATGACAAAAATGCAGTCTTAACAGTCACAAGAGCCCGCCTTGTGTTAGCTATAAAAAAAAATATATTTATATATATTTATGCAACTACTATGTGCATTAAACAAAATCACTGTATGAATCAGCAGGGTTCAATAACACTTGTATCTGAATTTCTGGAAGGGGTGCATTAAAGTTTGGGGTGCTTCTCAGTAAGGACTTACAATGAAATGGCAAAGAATAGAAACCCATTTGTTTAAAATCTTATTTTTTGTAACACAACGCCTAAGAAATGGTCCATAAGATCTCTGGCAGCTAAAAGTATCTGTTGCCTTTACATCAGCCTAGTGCTTCAGAATGAAAGATATCCCTTGAAACAAACCAGATAATTAGTTTTTAGCGAACACTGAAACTGAAAATCAGCCCAATTTCATTGTGAACTCCTATAAAATAAAACAATTTCACCATTGTGAAAATTCTCGGTTGCCCTAATTTCTTACCAATTTGTATATCACGATTTGTTTAGAAGGATAGTAAGCAGCAATGTACAAGAAAATTGTACTACTCCTGGAAAGCATATACATTGTGACTTGCTCAGTTAGGTGGGTAAGTTAATTTAGAATTGAGAAGTGAGTGTATTTCACATCCACTTGTAGAAGTATTGGAAAAATACTTTTTTCTTCTTTATCTGCATTAAGATACTGTTCTCAATCACCTGTGAACATTGATCAGTGCTCTTTGCACTGAAAGGGTACAGATTTGTCACTTAGTCTTTGAGATACCAGAGAAGAACACTTGAGGCAAAGGGTAATGCCCTTGTGCACCAAATCTTTATTATGTTTTCAATTACTGTGCATCCCCATACCTAAAGCCAATAACATGGCACTTGTGCCATAGTTCTGATACCACAGGTATCCACTGACAAGTGTTCTGCATGACCCATTGTGTCTCAGTCCACTAACAAAAACTACTGTGCAGTGGTGATCTGGTATCTTAGATAGTTTTTCCTCTTGGTCAAAACTTATCCAAAATCTTCTTGCTATCAGGCTACAGCAGCATAGGGCTCCTTTTCTTTAGAGAGGCAAAGTAAATGTCTTACACCTGTAGGCCAGTACTGGTGTTTTGTCCTAAATTTTAGCACTGCTCTGATACGATGAAACCTTCTTTTTCTCCAACAGGTTCCACTTCAGCATAGGCAGGATGTCCAGATCCTCTTCTGAATTTCATTGCTGGCCATCTGCTTGGACGTCTCTGTAACAGCAACAAGAAGAAAATAAACTTTCAGAATATGAAGGGTACAACAGTAAATTAATAATAAAAAATGTCAACAATGCCCTGTAATTTTATTCTCACTTTCATGCTAAAATCCACTCTGTGTAGCTGTTACAGGCAGGGAGGAACATAGTTCAGCAGCAAAAGTCTGTCTCTCCTTCCAAATTTGTGGGTAATGGCTGTTCTCAAAGACCTAAATAATTGCCACTAGTCCTAGCAATGAAGATGGTGAAACAGCTCCTGTCTAAAACTGTTGATCAGTGTATCTGTGAATTTTGTCATGTAAGGACCTGCTGCTGATCAAACACCCTCTAAAGGATCTTTCTGCTACTTTTCCTTCCTAGTTCTAGCAAGAAGGAATTTGCTAACATACATGGAAGAATGTGTACAGGAACTGCACTTTAAAAAATTCGTTAGAACAAAATTCTGGCATGCTTATGCAAGATTGCCAAGGTAATGACTTTCTATTTCAAGTGACAACATTTCTATTTGTGTAGTTTACTTTGACAGCTTAAATAGAAGCAACCTTTTCTTTTAAAGTCTTACAGACTTTGGATACAGAGGTCGTAAGAGGTCCTAACCAATTTTCATTAGGATCTTTGGTACCTGTTTTAAAAGGAGTTAATAAACAGAGAAGAGAAATAGATCTTCTCTAGGGCAGATGAAACAATTCCTATATGATTGTGATGCCTCTGTGAAGGAAAAGTGCTTTAAAAATCCTGCATTTTCAAACCAATTAATGCCTGGAAAGGCTCAGACACTGGATAACTAAGCTGAGATTTTGTCAAAAGGAATAGTTTTCAGAAAAGTGGGGAAACTATTTCTTAAAATGCGGTAGCAGAAAAAGCTCTCCTAAAAGGATTATTTCCTACTGAAAATTTTATCTACAAAATATGCTGCTACATATTTCTTTTTTTTTACTGATAACAGTTACAATCTGCTTGGAAGGAGAGCTGGAAGATACGGCAACCTATACAGAAATATTGCAGGATAACAAGAGGGAAACAGCGAAGATAAGTTACAGCCTATATTTTCATTGACAGCTCAGAATCTAAATAATTTTACTTTATGATCTTTCTTCTGAAAATAAACATTGTACTTCATTTTGTGTCCCCATAATATCCCATTTTGATTGCTTTCTGATCACTACCAATATTTCACGCTGCTGAGGTGTGGTGTTGGGAACAACAGAACAGCCACAGCCATGACATTATGCTGGGTCTTCTGGTGCTGTTGGGCAGCAGCCACTAAAGAAATCTTGGGGGATCACTGAATTCTGTTACCAACAAACCACACAGATGTCTGTGGGTACAGCACAAAGCCTTCCTCAGTGGCCACCGCTAGGAAGATAAAATATAAAGGCAACTGATTTCTTTTTCTCCCATTGCACGATCAGGTTACTTTTGAGGCATCCAGAGTTAAATTATGTTTGGCAGGTAATTTAAAAACCCAAGCCTTTCAGTGCACCACCTTCCTACCAAGTAGTAAGGCAGAATACTGTCCTCTTTAATGGATGTTTTTTCCTAATAAGAAAACTTAGTCTATTCAAACTTTGAAGACTTTTTTCTACCTAAGCTTGATTCAGCATGGTTTTAAAATTAAGAAGGACAGTTTGGTTACTGCTAAAGAAAAAGGGTCATATTCTGTTCTCAGACTCACTAAAGTAAAAAAAAATAATTCAGTTAAATGTAAAGGGCTTATTCTAGGTTTACACTGTTATAAATGAGAAAAGAATGTGACCGAGAGGTCTCTAATGAAAAGAGAAAATGAAAAAAACTAGTCGGAAATAATGATTAGAAACAGTCTCAGATGGCAACATATAGGGATGAGCTGAGTTTTAATCTATTAAGTTGCTCCCTAATTTCATTTTAAGATGTACCCAAGATTACTACTTCCTTGTTACGTTGCTGTTAGAAACTAAGTCTACCATTTTGAGCTACTCTTTTTAATTGACATTTCCAGATGATGAAATATGGAACAGATGTGCATCAGTTCTAATGATACAATGTGACGCAACACAAACATCAGCTGTTGCTCCAGAAATAACCCAACAGATTTGAAGATCATCTCCAAATATTACAATTACAGCTTTTTGTGGTTTCTCTTCATGCCTGAGGTGAGATTTTTCATTCCTAGAAACAACCTGTTTAATTTCAACTTCTTTGGGTGTGCGTGGGTAATGCAAGTGGTTGCCAGTCTTAAAAGAGAGCACTGACAAGCTATCAATTAACTGACTTGTGTATTGACCCCCAAAAAGCTGTAGAGACTTTACAGTTTTAACTCATAAAACCAAAAGTAAATTAATTGTATTAGGAGACACAGAGCTCCTTGAATTACTGAAGCAGCTCAGAAAATGCATAATGCATCCTTCCCTTTTATCCTCTGTGAAGTAGACTGATAAGAACACATAAAAAACCTACATGCCCCCAGAAAAAGAAAACCTTCCAAAGCCCGAACAGCAGTAACAAGAGAGAAAGCAAGCTGAGTATTTTAACTAATTCCTTAGTTTTGCCATCCAATTTAACAGGAAAAAATATGCTACTTTTCTGGAATTAGAACTCTTAGAGGAAATCCTCTGAGCTGCGGCTGGAGAGTTGTAACTCCTGTTTCCTTTCAGTATATTACAAAGCAGGAAAGCAGGACTAGGATTTTCTCATAGGACTGATGCTTCCTTTGGTTCATTATTTTAAGCAAATAAAGATGAAGGAAAAGCACCTGTGACCTTACGTAACCAGGATGCAGAAAATACATGTCAGGATGCAGAACAATAATTTATGATACACATTTTAAAAAGTTAGCTCCCATGGAAGATCAGTAAGATAAAATAAAAGAAACTAGGAGTGGATAATCTATGGAAAGTGAGATCCACCTTTCATGTTCCTTACATGCCTGCCTACAGCACCATTGGTGGCTGTGCAGCATAATTGACTTCCTACAGCAATAGCAAGCCTAGAAAAATTGTTTTTATGTAAATCTTGCAGCAGAGGCAGAGTGGAATCTATTTGTCTTCTGATAAAAGAAAGGAGGGGATCCCACCTATGAATACTAAAGGATGAATACTGGAGTATCTTCTCTTTTCGGGTCTCTTTTATACATCAAAATGGTATCAATAAAGGCATAGTTAAAAAAAAAAAGGGGTTGATACATGTCTGAGTGCACTTAATTGAATATTGTCTAAACGAAACTCAGATGATATGACCTGAATGTGATTTCCAGTGCTACAGTGTTTTTTGAGGTTGCTAGTGTCAGACTGTTTTATATCCTGTTGAACAGTAATTTTTTTAAGCAAAAGAGAAAAATGTGGCTCAAGTTGAAAACTCAGGAGAGTTTCAGATAGATTAGTGGTTTTTGTATGTGTTTAACTATATTGGTGGAATTTCTACAGACATTTCCAGTAACTTGATCATATGGAAAGGGAAGAAATGGAAAAGGACTCATCAGTTTTTATGTTATGGGTCTCCATCAACAGTCCAGAGATCATTTAAAGTGAAGCCATTTATTTTCTACTGTCAGCAAGGCTCCTACCTATTATGAGCCACCAGGTCACCAATGATGCAACTGTAAAATAAGAATGGAACAGTCTACTACAGTTTAGTAAAGAGGTAAAATTCACTAAGAATGATGTATTTCTACATTGACTTACAGACTAGGAAACAATCTGTGTCTCAAATTAATATTACCTGGAAAATAAGGGAAACAATCAATTTAGACTTCCAGTGAAGAAGCTGGTACAAAATCAAATCAAGATTTTTGTAATGGATTTTATAAATATTTGAAAGAATAAACTGAGTACACAAACAAGAAATGAAATCTACTTTGTACATGCCATAAGAAAACAAATTGTAAAGGATAGGCAATATCCAAGACCAATTACAGAACTACAGACAGTTGTATAATGTTGTATTGAAATACTGGTATTTGAAGACTGATGCCATGCTCCTGAGAGATTCTGATGTTGACATTATACATTATCTCTAAAATTTATGCAAGTTGACACCTTTCACCAAGATAGCAGTTCATTAACAGTAATTGTAATAATGTATAATTGTAATAATGTATATTTTGTTAGCTACAGTAGTTCCAAGCTTTTACATTTCCTTTCATATATCTGCATGAAGTCAAGTTTCTGTCAGTAATGGACAGAAGGAACTTGGCACCATGTATTACATATTTGATATTCTTACATCCTATCCTCTGCTATGCCCATCCTATCTTCATCCTGTCCTTCATTAAATACAGAAAAAATGGAATAAGCATGATTCTGTACTGATCTGCAATATCAGAAGACCAGTGAGGGGAAAACATAATGAAAAATCTGCCCTTCTGTCATCTCACCAACCCTGCCACCTGCACATTTTGTCCTGAAATTTTCTAAAAGATTAACAACAGCTCGTTCATATATTTCAGCTAACATAAAATCTGAGTGCTTGTGCACTGGAATGGATTAACTCTCCATTCCTATTGAGCAGTAAACTTGAACAGCTATTTCACCGAGACACACAGAGATTCTCTTTCCAAACTGAGTTTATATGAGTATAAATACTTGAATTAACATGAGAAGTCTTGAAAGAGTCTCCAGAGCACCCTAGCAAACTAGATTTCCCACTAAACTACACAAAAGCTGAAGTTACTGAATATTTTTTAGGCTGAATACTCTGATACCACCTTGACTTCTCCATCTATTGATTATTTTCCTGATTTCAAATCTTCTAGATTTTCAGAGGACTGTTTCATTGTTTCTATTGAAGTCTGCATCTTACATTTCCACTGATGTCAACTTATTTGTCTAAAGGCATAAGGACATTCAAATCTATTTAACAGCTGTATTCTTTAACTGCACTTCACCAACAAGGCCTATTTAACTCTCTTAACTGGAAATATGTAAATACAGAGCTATCCAAATTCCAGATCAATTGTCAAAATCCCAGAAAAATTGTAATGACTTACTCAATTGGATTAAGAAAAGGAGGTAAAAACAG